CCCCAAAACCCCAAAACCCCAAAACCCCAAAACCCCAAAAGGGGATTAAAAAATTGGATTTTAAATAATTTAACAAAATGATAAATTCCGGGAAATCATATTTAGATGCCGCACATGATCGTTTTGAAGATAACATCGGACTCTACTATAAAGAAAAGGATAATAAAGTAGTTGCAAACCTTGCCAATATGAAGCCGACCACCTTTCAAGACAAGAACCAGGTAGAAAGAGCAGCTATGTTGTGCTATTTCGTTGATGATTATGGAAAATGGTTTAAGGCCTTATACCCCTACGAGCCTTATTTCTACGTAAAATGTGAAGCTAAGGATGCAAGAGATGTGATCCTATACCTCAACACTACCTTTGGAGACTCTCATAAGAGCGGGCAAGGAAAAGAGAAAGAGGCTTATAACAAGATCTCCCAGATTGATTATGTAGATAAGGAAGATCTTGACCTTCCAAACCATCTCTCTGGTAAGACACAGAAGTACCTGAAGATCCATTTTAAAACAGTTGAGGATCTTATGGAAGTCAGAAGAGAGCTCAGAACCATTATCAGCAGAAACAAAGAAACTCTAGCAAAGATCAAAGAGGCTGAGAACATCTTCATGAAAGACGTTGAAATGGAGGAAGAGGAGAACTTCTTGATGAAGATCATTGAGCTGAGAGAATATGATGTTAGATACTACAACAGAGTTTGTATTGACAATGAAATTAGAGTGTCTTTTTGGTACGAACTTGATATTGAAGAGGAGAAAATTACAAGAATGACTCATCTCACTGAAAAATTGGACAAGCCTGAATTAAAGATATTTGCATTCGATATTGAAACTACTAAAGCAGAGCTGAAGTTCCCAGATGCCCAAAATGATTCAATCATGATGATCTCCTACATGATAGATGGCAAAGGATACCTTATTACAAACAGAGAGATTATCAGTGAAGATATTGAGGATTTCGAATACACTCCTCTACCTGAGTATGTTGGAGAATTTACAGTGTTTAATGAACCAAATGAGAAGGCACTTCTGGATAAGTTCTTTCAGCACATTAGAGAGACAAAGCCTTTCATATTTGTAACTTATAATGGAGACAACTTCGATTGGCCCTTCATTGAGACAAGAGCGAAGATTAACCATATGAACCTTGAAGATGAGATCGGCATTTATGCAGATAGAGGAAGGTTAGAAGCTAAGTACTATGGAAGATTCGCAGCCCATCTTGATTGACTCTATTGGGTTATCAGAGATGCATACCTCCCACAAGGATCTCATGGACTGAAAAAGGTGGCTAACGCTAAGTTAGGGTATGATCCTGTTGAACTTGATCCAGAGAAAATGATGGACTATGCAAGAAATAGGCCTCATGATCTGGCTGCTTATTCAGTATCAGATGCTTTGGCAACTTATTATTTGTATGAAAAGATGATTCATGATTTCATATTTGCCTTGTGTACTATCATCCCCTCTCATCCTGACGATGTGCTTAGGAAAGGATCAGGAACTTTGTGTGAAGAGTTATTAATGGCTCAAGCATACAGAGGAAACATCATTTTCCCTAACAAGAAGGAAAGCAAGTTTGAACGATTCCACAACAATCACCTGATAGAAACTGACACTTATGTTGGAGGACATGTCGAAGCATTGAAGACAGGAATCTACAGATCTGACTTCCCTCAAAAATTCCCAGTCGATAAGGAAGCATACCAACAACTGATAAATGACGTTGATAATGTCATTAACTTCTCAATTACAGTTGAAAATGAACTAGATCCTTCTGAAGTTACTAATATTGAAGAAGTCAAGCAAGCAGTAATTGATAAGCTCCAGGCCTTCATAGACACAGGAAAGAAGAATGTAACAAGAGATCCTTTGATATATCATGTTGATGTCTCTGCAATGTATCCCAATATTATTCTATCCAACAGACTTCAACCTGTAGCCATTGTTGACAATGAGACTTGTGCTCACTGTTGCTTTAATTATGAAGGAAGTAATTGTAAGAGAACTCTTGACTGGCAATGGAGAGTCACTCACTACCCACTGGTCAAAAGTGAATACGAGAACTTGAAGAAGAAGCTTCTGAACGAGCTTGAAGGCCAAGAAGTCACAGAGGAAGACTTCAAAACCAAACTTAAGAAAAGAGTAAAAGATTACTCCTCAAATGTGTACAAGGCCTTCCATAAAAATGAGACTCTTTTGAAGTCTGACACTGTCTGCATGAAAGAGAACCCCTTCTATGTAGATACAGTCAGAGATTTCAGAGATAGAAGGTACCAGTTCAAGAAATTGACCAAACAGTGGGCTGTAAAGACTAAGGAAGCTGCTAAAGAAGGAAATGCAAAAGAAGAAACAAGATGCTCAAATCTTTCTACACTCTATGAATCCTTACAACTTGCTCATAAGATTATCCTAAATTCCTTCTATGGGTACGTTATGAGAAGAGGAGCTAGATGGTACTCAATGGAAATGGCAGCTATAGTTACCCACACTGGAGGATGTATCATCAGAGATGCTAGAATGCTACTTGAGCAATTTGGAATTCCTCTAGAATTAGATACAGATGGTGTCTGGTGTCTCTTACCCCAAGGATTTCCAGAGGTATTTGACTTGAAGCTCAAGAATGGCAAGAAGATTCCATTTGAGTATATCTGCTCCATGTGTAATATCGCTATCTATGATAGATACGCCAATACTCAGTACCAAACCCTGGTCAATTCTGAGAAGAAGATTTATGAGACAAGAAAAGAGATGTCGATCTTCTTTGAAATTGATGGTCCTTACAAATGTATGATGCTCCCTGCCTCTAAAGAAGAAGGAAAGATGCTTAAGAAGAGATATGCTGTTTTCAATCATAAAGGAAAAATGACTGAGATGAAGGGATTCGAGTTGAAAAGAAGAGGAGAACTTCAAATAATCAAGATCTTCCAGTCTGAAGTTTTTGACAAATTTTTGGCGGGAACTAATATCCAAGAATGATACAACGCTTGTGGTGAAGTTGCTGAACAATGGTACAATATTTTAGAAACCCAAGCTGAATACATTACTGACGATGAGCTTATTGACTACATTGCTGAATCAAGAATGATGAGCAAACCCCTCATCGAGTATGGAAAGAGTAAGAGCACCTCCATCACTTGTGCAAAGAGAATGGCTGAAATTTTAGGAGAGGAGTTGGTCAAAGATAAAGGTCTTAATGTGACTTTTATTATTTCAAGACTGCCAGAAGATATGCCTATTTCTGAAAGAGCTATCCCTATTATTGCCTTCCAGACTGACCCAAGCATTATGAGGAAATTTATCAGGAAGTGGACTAATGATCCTTCTCTCACCAACTTTGATATGAGAAATCTCATTGACTGGAAATACTACAAAGAAAGAGTTGGTAACACAATTTTAAAAATCGTGACCATCCCAGCTGCACTTCAGGGATGCGATAACCCTTTTCCTAATGTACCTTACCCTGATTGGTTGGTTAAGAAGGTAAAAGAGCTGAACTCCATTTTTAAACAGAAGTCCTTAAATGATTATTTCAAGTTTTCCAAAAAGCCATCTCAGTTGCTTGCAAGCAAAGTCCAGAACATCGAAGACATCGGCGCTTCCAAGTTTAAATACAGAGAACTCACCGAAGAAGAAAAGAAAGTCCTTGAGCAAAAGAAGGAAAAAGAAAGACTCAAGAAAGAAGAAGAGAGAAAGATCGAGGAGCAAGAGAAGAACCCCACTCCGATCGAGGAAAATTTCCAAGACTGGCTCAAATACCAGAAAAAGTTCTGGAGGAAATATAGAAAGCAGAGAAAGGTAGACCCAATGGCCTTGGAGAAGAATACAGGCATTGATTCGATGCTTAAGAATTTTGATCAGTACTTTTTAAATAGTTCTCTTCAAATTCTTCATATTCAGCCAACACCTATCCCAGGAGTTTTACAGTTATGGGTAAGACTACAAAATAACTTGATGTATCCGATTAAACTGCAGGTAAACAGAATGTTCTATATCAACTCAAAGGTTCCTCAAGAAGGTGGTACGAAAGTGATGAAGTCTTTACCAAGACAGAGAGATATGAAATACAAGCAGTACCATTTGTATCAGATCGAGCAAGATGAGAAATCTTTCATTGAGAATTATGGAGAATTGATCCACTATCATATCTCTAATGCTAATATCGATGGAGTATACGAGACTCATATTCCACTTGAATACAGAGCTCTCCTTGAACTTGGCTCATTAGTCAAGCCAATAGCTAAGAAGATTGACAAATCAGAAAGTGCTCTGAATAGAGAGTATAAGATGAGCGAGTTCCAAGCTGAGAACAGAGGAAGTATGGAAACCTTTGGTGAACTTCCTCATATTCTGATTCATTATACTCACACAAAAATGAACCATTTCATTGGTGTGCATATTCCAGAGGCTAAGCAAGTAGCTACATTTACTATATCTGATAAGAAGCTCAGCAAGATCAATAATCTTATTGGAATCAAATTCAAGAAGACTCTGGAAGAGGTTGATCTTGAGAACATCATCGAATATGACAAATTCGATTATAAGCACTACACCAAGCTTGAAGATGCCTTTGCTGAGGTTGATAAACTTGTACTGAATTACAAGAAAACCAACAAGTATGCCTTCACCACTAACATTCATACTTCTACTCCTATTGAGAAGATAAAGTCTTACGGACTGACTTGTCTGAGCGGAAAAGTACCTTATATCCTCTCTGAAGCTACTTTTGAAGAGAATGCTTTCCCTGCACTTGACTGGGCTTACTATGCTACAGAAGGATTCTGTAACAGATGAGTCAGAACGGGACTTGAACTCAGAGAAAAAGAGTATCTCTCCCTTTTCTCAGGAATCCCACTTGGAAACTCCAGTACAGATATGATGATCCAAATCATTGATGTTCTCTATTCCAGGGAACTTATTGCATCAAAACATGTTCTCTGGTACTCGGATACAGGACTCCCAGACCTTGGCGGTAATGAAGATGCTGATTTCAGAAGATATTTTGACCAATTAGATTCTAACTCAGAGATGTCTTACCCAGGATTCTACAGGACACAGTGAGTAGAGATAGACATTTCCCTGCTTTGTATTAATGCTATTATTCAGAGTGACCAACTGTTTGATTTTAACAAGACTAAGAGGGAAATCAATGTCTCTGCTATTCAGAAAGATCAATCTATTAACGATACCACCTTTGAAGAAGAAAAATTAGCTAATAAGCTAAGTGATGAAATTGAATCCTTCGAGTCCTGTACAGCCTCTTTTGAGAAACTCAAGAAGGTCTTTATTGTCTGGCTCAGCGAGATAAAGAAAAATGTAAAATACTCAGATGTACTTCTATCCCATGCCTATAGATGGCTATCATCTGGAGAAGCTAAGCTTTATGACCCACAATTATTCAACTTTGTGAATAGTCTGATGCAGAAGTGCTTCACAGAGCTTTGTAAGAAGATCCAAGCTTGTGGATCACAACTAGTGTTCTCTTCCTTCAACAAAATTATTATTGATACTAAAAGAGCCAACTCAGAGCAAGCTACTAATTATGTTGAATACATGGTCGAGACAATCCAGAAGGAGTCAATGTTTAAATACATCAGTTTTGAAGTGAACAAGCAATGGTCTACTCTCTTGTTCAAGGATAGATTTAACTACGCAGGTCTCTACTCAGACAATGATGAAAAGATAGTAGGAGAGTTCAATCTCCAAGACCATCTTCCTCCCAACCTCAAGTCTCCCTTCATGGCTATTATCGGTAACTTCATCAAAGAGACGCATCAATTCAACCTGAAGAACAGGAAGAATGTGATAAGGTAATTTTTATAGCTTAAACTTATAGAGTTGAGAATCAAGATACAAGTATTTACCAGAACCAAAAGAAGGAAGACCTCTTGGATATCTCAAAATCAAACCCTAACAAGGGATATGATGATCCCTACCTCGGCAAGTTTGCTGCTTGCCAAATGGATCAGCATCTTGACAATCTACAGGACATTACAGAAGTAGAAGATCTCCAGTTCGCTAGGAAGTACATCAGCAAAGATGTCACAAAAATGGTGTTCGAGCTTATGGATGAAATTCAGGTCAAGATCAACCAGTTCAGCTTTGATAAGCGGGTCTATGATGACGATGACAAGTAAGTTACCTAAGAATAACCAAATAGGGAAAATATGATAGATGAAGACGAGGGAGGCTGGCAATTCGTTCCACAGCTAGGGTCACATCTCAAGCAGCAAAACATTCAACTTGAGTTTATCAAATATATTTGTGAAATCCTTGGCCTTGATGAGTATCTGAACCAAACTGCTAATATCCTGAAGAGAGGATGCTTGAAGAAGTTAAAGCTAAAGGAGTTCCAAGAAGGAAATAAATTTGAAGAACCATCCCTCGAACTTGTTTTACCTCAGGTCACTTGTAGCTCATGCCAAATGACGACTAACTTAAACATCTGTAAGGAGTACACAGATTCAAGAAATGGATGGATATGTCAAGAATGTGACTCTTTGTTCAAGCCCAATTATATCGAGAAGAAGTTTATCGAACTCCTCAATGCTAGATTGATCTCGTATCAGATTCAGGATATCGAGTGTAGAAGCTGCCATTTAATTAAGAACACTTTACTAGGCAAGTTATGCAATTGCTCTGGAAAGTTCAAAAACACTCATTGTGATATCAAGCTTAAGGACTTACAGAACAAGAACTTGTTGAACCAACATGCTGATATCAGAATTTTGATAGAGTTGCTTTGGAATATTTCTAAGAAACAAGAGATGAAATTACTCCAATGCATGACAGAATCCAGAAGCAAAATTCTTGGACTAAATCTCCAAGAACTCTATTAAGTAAAATCATCATAATTCAATTTAAATTCATCCTATTGGGGTTTTGGGGTTTTGGGGTTTTGGGGTTTTGGGGTTTTGGGG